CTGGGATGTGTCCCCATAACTGGGATGTGTCCCCATAACCAGGCTGTGCCCAGCGTGGGTAGCACCCCCCTCGCTCCCCCCAGGGACGGGCTGAGGGTTAAGGGCAGAAGCAAAACCCCTTCTCTGGCATCTCACTGCCAGGACCAAGGGACACACATCAGGGCTGTGGGATGATTTTGGCTGCCACAAAGTGACTTTCCCAGCGAGGGGGACACATGACAACACGGCTACCAGCCCCCATGGGTGCTGGGCAGCACCCACAGCCCCCTCTCACCCCTCAGAAGAGCAGGAACCCCCTCTCATCACCCCAGCAAGTATCATGCAGCATTAACGTGGCCCAGAGCAGCTCTCTTCTGCACTCAGCATTTCTTGGAGGTCCCACAGCAGATGTGCTGCCAGCCCTGGTGACACACTGCAGCCCCCCCGACGGCACCTCTGGATGCCCCCCAGCCCCACAACAGCCACATGCAGTGTCACCTCCACCAGGATATTGCCGCCAGAGGCAGTGAGACTCCAAGGGGCTGGTCCCCACAGTCTGCAGTTGTCCCAGCTGTGGGTGATGGGGCCTCGTGGGGCTGCAGGGGCCACAGGTGACCGTGTGGCTCTGAAAGAAATCTTGTCACGCCACAGACAGGTTTTGGTGAGTGAGGTTTGTGAGCAAGTGCCTACAAGGCTCCCAGCCCTGCCACCGTCCTTCTCCATGCCTTGTGCCTCCAACTGCAGCACCTCAGAGGGGTCCAGCCACTGCCCTCCCCATCTTCCTGGGCTAATTCATAGGGGTCCCCAGCCCAGGACCCCCAAGGACCTGCCCCACAGGGTATGTGCCCCCTGTCCCACATATCCCAGCCCCTTGCATACCCCAGTGAGTGGCAGACATGGTGTGGGCACAGCTCCTGCTGGGCTGTGATTCCCTCCCCTCGGCTCTGCCTGGCCGGTTCTAGCTCATCTCAGCCCTGGGCAGTGGGGATGCTGCAGTCCCCAGGGCTCCAGCAGCCCCATGGACTGGCTTGGAGGCAGCTTTTGCCCCTTAGGGCCACACAATCTCCTTTAGCAGCTGCAAACCTGGGCCCAAAGAGAAAAGCTCTGGAGCAGTTGTTCAGTGACTACCATGAAGTGCTTGGGCAGCTTTGAGCCACCTCCTGTCTCTGCCACCAGCCCCGGGCGGTCCCCGAGCTCAGTGCTGGGATGCCCAGCTCCCTGCCAGCATCCTCGGGGCACGTGGTCCAGAGGGGCCACTAACCCCTGCTTTTGCAACCAAACCAGCTGCCCCATGTGAGAGATCATCCCCAGGGAGCAACGACCCCGAGATACTGGGGGGAAAGCTTCCTCGGGACCGGGCTGGGGGGGCTGCAGGGTGTTGGGGCCACACACAGCCCTGACCCCATGGGGTCAGCCCCGCTTCGGGGTGCACAAGACATGGAACCACTTGGGGATGGCTGTTCTCCCCACTGCTCCCCCCAGGGCTGCCCAAACCCCACCACCCCAGGAGCTGCCCGTGCCCCCCAGGACCTCCCAAGCCACCACCATGTCCTTAGGGCTGGATGCCCTCCTGCAGGGGAGGGGGCAGGGATGGGGAAAGCGGGGAAGGAGCCACCAGCAGAGCTCCCCCAGCCCAGGGAGATGCTTTGAGAAGGGGCAGAATCATAGGAAAACGTCCCCCCCAGAGGGCACTGGCACCACCTTGGGGGGCGAGAGGTTTGGAAAGCTGCAGCCTTTATGTGACACTGCAAATACTTGCTTTTTCCCCACTTCTGCTGTGCACGGGAGACACTGGGTGGTACCAGAGATGCTGGGGGCACTGGAGATTCTGGGGGTACTGTCGTGGCACCCATCCACATCCCACCACCCCAGGACCACCACTCCACTCACTGCACCCCCCCCCAACAAGCACAACCCCAGCTCAGGACCCCCGGCAGCCTCCAGCTCAGAGCTTTATTGAGTCTTTTTTGCACAAAAAAAACCCCATCAAGGCCACAGCATCAGCCGGCGGCGTCATGTCAGCTCCCCCCCAACCCCCCCCCATCCCGGGGGCAGCGGGGGCAGCGTGGGGCTGGGGTGTCCTTCAGCTGTTCTCGAAGCAGCCCCGCTGGTGCCACTGCTGGTCCCGCACCCGGCGCACGGACTGGATGAGGGGCTGGTTGGCGTCCCACTCGTTCCAGTGGCGGTACTCCCCCTTCTCGAAGACATGCTGGCGACCCCGGTACCCGGGGTACTCGTAGCCCACCCACCTGCAGGGGACAGAGGTGGGTGTCCCAGGGTCAGCTCCAGCTGCAGGCCCCACCACCACCACCACCACCACCACCCAGGGGGGGGTCAGCTCCAGCTGCAGACCCCACCACCACCACCACCACCACCCAGGGGGCTGCTGCTCCATCACCACCAAGTGTCACCACAACAAGGTGCCCGGGTGGGAAATGCCATCGTGCTGGGAGGGGATGGGGACCCCAGGGTGGAGAAGGGGCCACGGTTCTACCACTCTTGTGGTGGTGCCCAGCAGAGCCCTGGGTCAGGGCAAGGAGCTGTCACACAGCCCTGGTGACACTGCTTTGGTCCCCCCCTCGCTCCTTGTGGGCCAGGGAAAGGGTGGCAACGAGGAGAGAACAAGGGACACGATGGGCATGAGCAGCATCGTGGGGAGAGCTGCTCCATCCCCACTGCAGTGGCTGTGCCAGGCATCCCTGCCACCACCCTGGGGGGACCAACCACGGTGTCACAGGATGGGAGCTCGTTGGGGTGTCCCCGCATGCCCCCAGTGCCACCAGCCTTACGTTCCGTTCAAGGCCCTGACACTGGCCACGCGGTCCTGGAAGCCATGGGCCCAGAGGCTGGGGACGTCGTCGTCCACAATCTCCATCTTCCTCCCGGTGTAGCCCGCGTTCTCAAAGAGGTGGATCTTGTGGTCGGGGCTGTCCTGCAAGAAAGCACGGGTCAGGGGCTGCCCTGCATGTCCCCAGCCCCCCAAGACCCCCATGGGCCGTGCTGCTTGTCCCAGGGGGTGCAGACACCCCAACACAGCCTTTACTCACGATCTGTAAGGGACGGAGGGACATCAGGCTGTCACTGTTGTGGCTGTTGGACCAGGAGTCCCAGCGTGGGTAGTCCCCCTTCTCCAGGACAAACTGCTCCCCGGCGAAGGCTTGTCGCTCAAAGCCCAGCCACCTGCAGGACCAGAGGGTTGGGGATGGCATGGTCACCCACCAAGGTGGGAGCACTCCATCCCGAGGCAGGGGGATGCTCCCTTTGCCCCCTCCCCACCCTGGACTTACGGGCCAAACTCCACCTGGATGGAGCCCACCTTCTCCAGCTCTTTCTCGGTGATGCTGGGGAGCTCCTCCGTCAGCTCGCACCTTTTCCCCTGGAAGTTCTCCAGCTCGTAGATCGTGATCTAAGGTGGGGACAGATGCCATCAGCTGCCACCGCAGCCACTGCAGGACCCCCCCTTGGCAAACACAGGCAGCAGCAAAAGTGGTCTCCAGGCACATCCCCTCCATCCCTGCCACCCTGCATCAGTGTTGCTCCTCTCCTGTGGCAGGGCTGGATCCCATCACGGGTCTCTGTCCCAACAGACGGCTCCTGAGCTTCACTCCTCAGCCATGTATGGGCCAAAGTTGTTTGCTTGGTAGAGCACAAGCTGATATTTCACCCATGACAGGCTGAAAACAAGCTGACCGGCACAAACACAGCATCAAAAATGTGGAGGGACCTCCAAGGTTGTGGGCTCCTGTCCCCAGCCTGGTTATGGCCCGTCCTTTCCTTCTCACTGCTGCCTCCAGATCCATTCTTTCTCCTGCCCTGGCCTGGAAGAAGCTCATTTTTCAGTGTTTTCAACGAACCCTTCCCAGGTGCAGAGACCACACCACCTTCCCCAGGACCTCCCGCTCTAAGCAGAGCTTCGGGGCTGAGCTGCAGGATGAGTTGGAGCCAGAGCACGGCGGGGAGCAGGGCCCAGGGCTCCCAGCACAATTTGGGGAGCAGGAGGGTCAGGAGGGCAGCCAGGCTGCACCCCTCACCTGAAAGGGGTCCCACTGAAACCCTGGGACAAGGACAGAGCCTCCTGTGGACACCATGTGATGGGGGTGGGTGTCAAGGGACGGAGGTGACACCCACAGTCACTGAGAACTTCTTCCCACCCCAAAGTGATGAGCAGCCCAAGCTCCTGGCACCTCTTTACCCCATTTGCAAGATTTGCTTCCAATTCCCAGCCTTCCCCAGCCAGGAGGGGCTTTTCCCAGCCCCCCGAGCTGCAGGAAGGGCTGCAGCCCCCGCAACACCCGCAGCCCATTTTACCTCCAGCCAACGCACAAGCATAAGAATTATAACCTAAAAAAAAACCAACAAAAAAAGCAAAACACCCAGGGAGTTTCACCACTCAGCCCCTCAGCTGATCCCCGCCGTGACGGGATGCTTTATCTCGGGGATTAAAAGCTGTGCAGCTGCACAGCAGAGAGGGAAATGTTGTGGGCAGCCTCAGAGGCAGCCGGCAGCGTCTCCTCCTGCCAGGCAGCAGCACATTCCCGGGAGGAAGCATCACTCCCCAGCCCGGCTCCGCTCAGGGGGGGAGCCAGGAGGAGATCCATCAGAGGGGTGACACTAACGAGCTGCTTCGTTAGGAGAGCTGGAGGCTGCTTGCTTACCAAGTGCAACCCGTTCGGAGCGGTGCCAGCCCGCTGCACGCAGGGGGACCAGCAGCATCACCCCGAAACCCCTCGGAAACCAGTTGCCCCCAGGATACCAGTAATACCTTGTAATTGCCAACTCGCTCGCCAGCACCCTCCCCGGTCGCCATCTGCTCGGGGGGACTTTGCTGCTCGGTCATTGTGCCTGGAAAACCCAAACGGGAGGAGGTTAAACACGGCAACGACGCTTCAGTGGGAGGTATCAGCCTCTCAATTATAAAATATTTCATAAAATAACAAAAGATGAAGCTGGCGCGGGAAGAGGCAGCACAAATCCAGGCGGTTTCCCCAAGCGCAGCAGCTGTAAATCCCAGGGATGGCCGGGAGAGAAGGAATGGCTCCGTTATCCATCCTCCTCTTCCTCCCTGCCCACGGGCCCTGCATCCTCGCCCAGGCATCACCGTGGGGCTGCAGAGCCCTGACCCAACCAAGCCACCTTCCGAGTGGCCACAGCTCCTCTCTGACCCCGGGCAGCTCTCCCAGCTGCTCGCTACGCTCATGTCCAAAAGCCTCTCCCTTTTGTTCCCAGCAGGAATGTGCCAGGTCCCAGCTTCCAGCTGCTGACATCGCTCCCCACTAACAGAAACCTGTCGGCTCCCCCTTTTGCTCCCACCACCCCCCGGGGGGGACAGGGGACCCCGGCAGCAGGAGCCAATGCCCCCCACATTGGGGCAGCAGAGCCCTCTCCTCGCTCTCCAGGAACATCTCATGAAGTTCCACCTCAAAAAGCTTTCAACCCCTGGCCGAACACGCTGCCCCCCTGCCTGCTCTCCCCCCACAAATCCAAGGGGATGCTGAGAGCTTTCATAGGAGGCAAATAAAAGAAACAACCCCCCCCCAAGTTTGACTGGCATCCTAAACCAAAGCCCTGCAGCACCGCTCCTCGCCAAGCGCTGGCAAAACACCCACGGCAGCGAGACCTCAACTCAGACATGCTAATTCTTTTTTTTTTTTCTTTTTTTTTTTTTTTTTTTTTCTTTTTCAAGCCCCTTCCAGTCCCAGCAGCGCCGCCGCTACCTCTCCCGGCGTGGTTCCGCTCTGCCGGGCGGCGCGGGCGGCCCTGCTATTTATGGGTGGCTTCTGAACAGAACAGCACATTATTTGGCCGCTGATACAGCAGCTGCGTCCACCGAATTCCATCCCTGAGATCTCATCTCAATAGCGGGGGCTCGCGGGGCGCCACGGGAGCGTTATTCACATTTCTCCCGGCCGCCCCTTAAAAACGGGCCGCGCGGGTTTACAGAAGATTAGCCTCGAAATTCGCATCAGCACGTTCACGCTGCTTCTTGCCAGGTCCTCTGGAAAACTCTCCCGTCAGCAGTTCACGGGAGGGTTTAGCCTAGAAATGGAGTACAGCACAAAACAAAACAGAAATATATATATACACATATGAAAAAGCAAAATATTTACAGCTCGTTTGGGCTCTAAACACGGGGTTGGTGTCAGTTTCTGGGAGCACGGCAGGGAACTGGGGGTGGATGGGACCACGGCAAGGCTGGCACTCAAAATTTGGGTTCTCACCTCAGCTTTGACCCTTTTTCAGGAAGGTTACCTCCATCCAGCCCCTCTTCCCTCTTTGCACCTCGGTTTGCCGGGAGCCCCCCTGCACGGACACTGCCCTGGGCTCAGGGGGACCAACTTTTAGGAGCCAAATGCCTTGTAGGTGGGTTCATCCACCGTCACAGGCCAAGCATGACCCAACGGGGGGGGGAGAACAGTCCTGCCACACCAGATCATAGATTCATAGAATTATCTAGGTTGGAAAAGACCCTTGGGATCATCAAGTCCAACCATCTGGCTCTCAGATGCCACCTGAGAGCATTTGACTTTCCTGGTTGTGGGCCCCATTCCCTCTTCTCCAGGGGACACCAACCTGCGTTCGCCATCTCCAGTTAGTACTGCTCTTGCAGGGTTTCTCTACCTTCAGCTCTAAGGAGTCTCAAAAACAAGAATTACACATGAAATATTCACCAGAATTGCCAAAAAGCGACTCCCCTTGGCCGGGTTGGACGAAACGTGCAGTTTGTGGGACTGGCAGATGGCCAGAAGCTGTCCCCTCCGCCGCAGCAGCAGATGGAGCTCTCCTGCTGCAATTTGCTTTATGATACCACACACCAGAGCCCTTTATGGTGGGGATCTTCACCCCCAGCCCATCACCCACGTCCCGGGGGAGGGACACCCCAAGCCTGGTCGGACAGAGACCACCAGACTCTTTTCCACCACTGCCCATTGCCGCAGGTTCTGATGAAGAATGAGACAAATTGCATCCAAAGGAGGATTTTTCCCCCACATTGGAGACTGCCCGCTCCAGGAACGGGACTCGAGGTGGGTGGGAGAAGGGCCTTCACGATGTAAAGCTAAACATAAAGAGCACCTGGCAGCACAGCTCAATAGGAGCTTGTTTATTGTCATTATTCAAGTGACATTTGTACCTATGAAGGGATCTGAGGGACAGTGGTTTGAGACAGTCCCTTCCTAGTGCAGCTCCTTCTCACCTTTTCATCTTTTTTTGGGATATGAAATTGCTTGGGCTGGAAAATACAAAATCACTTTTGTACCGAAGGACAGCAGGGAAAGGATTAATTTGTTTCTCTGAGCAAACACAGCAGCATCTGCTTTCAACAGATCAGGAACCCAGGACTTTTCCCCCCACTCCATCCCCGGGACACTCAGCCCCGAAGCGGCTGCGGAGTCTGGGAATATTCCTCCCCCCAACTCTGAAAAGGCAATCACAAAAAAACATAACAGAAGAGGCAGATCTCACTGATTTGTCCTCCTAACAGAGCTCAATTTCCTTTCGCTGTCAGCCTCCTAAACCCCTTCGAGAAATGCTGACAGCACCGTTCTTAGAAAGCAGATATTATATATTTTTTTTCTTAATAACTGGTAAAGCTAAGCCTGAATTGCAGCTGTACAGTACAATACACGACCGCCAGAATATCTTTATTATTTAGGAAACTATGTAGTACAAAATATTTTCTGTAGCACAATGTATTTACTATGACCCGTATTTACATCTTCTACAAGGCTACGTGGAACGATATCAAACTTTAACCTACACAACAGCTCCCTTAAAAACAGGCTGGATACCATCACGGTTAATAGGGGAAGAGGAAAAATGCCCTAAAACGTTGTCTCTCCTCCTTCTCCAGTCCCACCAGAAGTTATTTCAGATGATGTTTTGGGGAAGAGGAGGGGAGGGGGACACGGGGGCTGGGTGTGCTCAGGGACCTGTTATTAACCCCCCCTTAGAACCCTCCACCACCCACAGAACTGGGTTGGACCAGAGGTTCCTGGACGCCGCGGTCCCGGGTGAAGGACCTCACAACACCATCCCCCCAAATCCACACTACAGTTCCACGGAGGCTGGTTCTTTTGCCACAAAAGCCCTATCCTGCTTAAAAGCCCACCTTTATTCCTCAAATTCCCATGAGGATGGAGGAAAACCAACTGAGAGCACTCATGAGTGCAGAGCTCAAGTCGATGAGAAAACTCAACATCGGCTTCTCCTTCCCAACGTTTCTGTGGGGGGACAGTGACACCCCCATGTCCAGCACTCACCCCCAAGGCAGCCATGGGGGCCATTTATCCAATGCATCCTTCGCCCCTTGGGACCTGGAGGTGGGCTGCTCTGCTGCCTCCACACCATGGGCTTCCACAAGGGTCCTTTAAGAAGGTGAAGAGGGAGATCTCTGGCCAACATGATCTCATGGTCTCCATGAGAGCAGTTATGGCCACATCACCCTGCTTCTGGTGAATTCCCTCTGCCCACACTCGGGGCATTGCACACATGGAGCATGTTTGGGCTGGGACCACAGGAATTCTGGATCCACAGCTCCTCGGGCTCCACAGGATGAGGTTAAACCTCTGCCCGAGGTGCTCTCACTTCCAACCGAGGTGACACGAAGGGCAACAATCCCAGAGCATCAGCACCAGGTTTTCTCCAAAGTAAGGGGGAAAAGGTGTAGGGACAGAAGTGCCTTTTACTGGGGCGCAGGCTTTTAGAGACTGTATTTAAATTTATTGATATGATATTTGTCCTAGAACTGCCCCAATCCCCACTCAGCTGTTTTGGGACATCAGCTCTGCATTTAACCCCTCGCCATCCAACCACATCCTCCAGTTAATACTCAAGGGACCAGGCACATTTCAGTCTCTGCACAAGCACTAAAGGTTATGAACCACCTGTTATGAACAAATAACAGGGCAAAGCAAACTTTTGTGCAAGCAAAAAGGCAGGGGGTTAATTCCTTCAGGGCCACTTTACCAGGATGTTTCAGGCTTCAAAGGCTTCGAAGGCAGCCCTTACCTCTTTCTCTGCAGGAAGTAAAACCCAATCATTGAGACTCTGACCAGCGAAGGGCTCGAATTAAAGCTCCACAGACCTTAAAAAGGTGAATTTGCCACCAGAAAAAATAAAAAGGAAGAAATCCACACCCGGGGAGTCCAATGAAAAGAACCAGAATGTCCATGTAAATCCCCCAGTGACAAACTAAAACAGAGGGAGGACTTCTGGTACTAATGAGAAAAGTGCAATCAGAAAAGAAGCAGCTTTAAATTCCACAAACCCTGTACTTTCACTTTTTAAAAAAACAATTACTGATGCAGCTTTTTAAGCAAAAAAATCCAAGCAGCTGTAACAGGAGGGACAAGGACACAGCACTCCCCAGGGTCTCCATTGTCACTTGGACACCGTTGGGACAAGAGTTGAAACCTGCTCCACGGCAGGTCCCAGTAATTAATGAAAAACCATACCAGAATTAATTGATGAACCATACCTGAAGAACGCGCTGAAGCTAAGAGCCCACTCCCATCTTGTATTAACAGCAAAATATAGGGCAATAAGAGCGTAAAAAATTCAAACAAGCATAATTTGGAATTAAAATAGAATTATATAAAGTGTATTACAGTATGTTCTATCATTTAGGAAGTAATAACATATTTATATATCTTTTATTACATAGCGATAACCTGAAGAGAAGGAAGTAGATATTTAATCCATGTACAATATAAAGAAGTGACAGAGCAGGAAAAAAACACTTTCCCATCCAACAACATTCTAAAGATGCTTTTTAATTAGACATTTAAGCATTAAACATTTCTCAGTAGTAGGTTAAACTACTAAATACAGTAAGTTTCAGT